ACCCATCGCCCTCTCACTAGTTTTTGGTTTCCTTTGCATCCACAGGCTGACAACCCCCCGGCCCTTACAAACCCTTCTGTGGTTCCATTGGTTTCTCCTGTGACTGACTCAGAGAGTGTCGGCTGCTTCACTCCGTCGAAGTTGCTTTAGGTTGTCTGTACCTCTCTTGCTTACAGCTCTCCTTGGAGGTGGAACTTAGTGCCCCTTTTATGTGTCAATGGAAAGGTTACCTCAGAGTGGGATGGCCTCGCCATTGTCTACTGTGGTGGAAGTGGGATGGAAGTCACATTTGGTGAGCTCCTGCCAAGTGCTTGGGGGTGGGAGGAGAAGGACAGAACTCCATGCTGGGTGAAGGAGCCCATTTTGGAACAAGCAAGGATGGGATTGATTCTTGGAGATGATGCCAACTGTGTGACTTTGGACAAGTCACTCAGCCTCTCTGCGTCTCAGAATTCTTCTTTGTCAAGAAACAAAATACAAACGCAGCTGTGCAACCAAAGGCACGTGTCCTTGTGGCAGCTGGTGTGTGGTTGGTGGGCACTGACCTCCCTTTCTCCTGTGTCCATGGATCTGATGGTGCATCCAGGCCCCTTGGTTAAGGTGGAATAAGCAATCTGATGAGGCTTGATGGGGACACAGGACTTCTGGGCCAGGGCCAGGCTGGTGAGCAGTAATGGATAGCCTCTGATTTTTTTCTGGCCACTGCCTCTGCTGTCCTGCCATCTTAGTCCTGTCCTGTCCCTCAGTCCCTGGACCCCTACTCCCCAGGACAGGACAGGGGACGAGACAAGTTGCTGAGCTGCTGGCCGACGGGATGGTTTAGAATGAGCCTGGCGCCTCGCTGTGGTCCCTCTGGACTGGGCCTTCAGTGCAGCCAGTGGCCGGACATTGGTCATTGGCTGCAGGCCATGGTGCAGGTGAGCTGAGCGCAAGACAGCCCTCAGAGGTGAGGGGCCGGAGGGGGGCTCTGGGGATGGCACGCGGTGCTGGGGCCACAGGTGTTTAATGAGCCGAATTCCCACCGCCCTCTCCCGGACTCCATTTATTACCTATTAAATAATTATCTCATTTGGAAAGTGTTCTTAATGTAGGGCAGACTCCACCCCTGGGGCCATGGGTTTTGCAATGCATTGTCTCCTGCCTGCGTGTTCCAGGCCCGGGCAGGGCCAGAGCATTCCTGCCCTGGAGGGGCCTCCTCCTAAGCCGGGCTTTGGGTATTGCAGAGCCTGGCGCCACCTCCCTGCGCCCCCAAAAGCCCTGGGTAAGAGCCTCATCACAAGGACTTTCTTAAGTAGTCTTCCAAAGAAGATTGCCTGGGGCTGGGCTTCCCAAGTTACTTGCTATTTTGTGGAATCCAGTTCCAGGATCCCCAGAGCACCAGAGAAAGGGGGATGGGAGGGGCCTTTGTCATTTTTACTCAGGCTCTGAGGAGGGAGCTGCCCCACTCTCAGTCAATACCGTGAGTCTGACATAAAAGCAGAGTCCAGGCCTCCTGCCTGCAGGTCCAGAGCTCCCTCCATGTCCTCCTTCCTTTGTCCTGGTGGCGCACGCCTGTAATCCCAGTGGCTCTGGAGGCTGAGGCAGGAGGATCACAAGTTCAAGGCCAGCCTCAGCAGCTTAATGAGGCCCTGAGCAACAAGTGCTGGGGATGTGCCTCAGTGATTAAGTGCTCCTGGGTTCAATCGCCAATACCCAAGAAATAAAAGTCTAAAAGTTGCACAGATTTGATAAAACATGTGCAAACAGTACTTTTAACTTGGAGAAATGCACGCCTCACCCCGTCCTGTCTTCTCCCCAGAGGTCATGGCAGTGGTCAGGAGGGTGTGTGCCTTCCCATCCCATCTTATCTAACAGGCTCCTTCGGGTGCACAGTGGGCTGACGATCCTCACCTGCCTTCACTGTGTGTCTCAAGATTCACGTAAGCCCTGACCCAGACCTTGGAGCTGGATGGCTGTGCTCAGGCAGGCTCCAGTGTCAATGTCGAAGCTCCAGGGGCCCCTGGGACTTAGCGGTAAGGATTCTGGGAGTGGAACTCAGTAGCTGTCACTCAAACCTGGTGGGGTCTGGGCTGCTACATGGAACCCCAGGGAGAGGCCCCCCACCCAGTTCAGGCACCTGCATGAAGGATCTGGGGGTCACTTGTTTGCTTGGTATGAGGCCCTGGCTGCAGGTCTTGTCAAGGTCTTGTGAAGATCGTGATAGAGCCTGGGCTTGGCTTCATGGCTAATAGGGAGCCACACAGGGTCCTAGGGTGCTGAGAAGCAGCACAGGTGGGACAGGTGGCAGGAGGAGGAGGCAGATTGCCTTCCAGGATTGCTGTGAAAACCAAAGGCGGTTCATGATCGCCCCTGTTGTAGCATCTACATACAGTAGGTGTGCAATAGCTATGCAACTGATGATAAAGAGCGAGGCTGAGGCTTGAACTATGAACCTTTCAAATCTTGGAGCCCCCAGACTCCTGCTCCCTGATCATGACAGCTGGCGCTTACTGAGCAACCAAGTGTCAGATGATGGATTAGCGGCTCATTTCGTCTTCTGTGCCAGAGTCATTGACACCCTATTTCCCTTCACCCCATTGCACAGGAACCTGATGTTCCCAATGGCCTGAAAGCCACAGGGTCTGAGTGGTGGAGCCTGTATTCCATCCTGGGCTGTGTCCCAGCTCCTGAGACTTCCCAGGGGGCGGATGCCAAGTGCCTGTAGAACAGTCAGGTGCCGCCTGCTGGGAGAAGCCTCAGGCTCTCTGCAGGCTCCCAGAAGTGGCTCCCCCATGACTCAGCCTCCCAGAGCTGCTGGCCGGCCACCCTGTAGCCATCAGGCTCCGTCAAAGCCTTTTGCTCTCTTACTTGCTGTTTTAAAAACAAAAACCATGAAGTGGTTTCTCAGTCTCTAGCCTGTGCTCAAGCCTCGGGGGCTCTGGATGGTGTGGCTTGCTGATCACCAGGGAGAGTTTTCCTGCTCTGGGGCCAGTGCCACGCGGCCTCCCTGACCTTGGGAGAGCTGGGGCCCGTGGAGCTGAGCCCCATTGTTAATACAGATGAAAAAGGCATTCACCTTGTAGACCCACGGCCACCCGCTGTGGAAAGGTGACTTCCCGCCCGCACATTAAGCACTGAGGTGCCCACTGGCCGGCCGGTCTGCCCCCTGATTCATTACCGCCTGACCACAGAGGAATTGCAGAGCCCAGGCAGGGATTGTGTCTGCAGGCTCCGGCTCCGGCAGCTCGGCGGATTTCAATGAGATGATCGCTTGTCATTTTTTATTAATGAGTGAGTGCCTGATTCATTATACATCTGAGGGGCGAGCCTCCCCAGATGGGGAGGAGGGACGTGGAGGCGTGCAGCTGCCACGGAAGGGGTGACGTGGCCCTGTGTGTGAATCTTTTCTTTCTCTTTCTTCCTGAAGGAAACAAGCAAGAAATTGTGCCTTCCTTTGCTAAGCAAGGCCTGGGTGACCCACGGCCTGCTGGTGGAAAGGGGAGGTGGCCTGATGGCAAAGCCAAGTGCCCCAGAGAGAGCAGAAGTCTATGCAGGGAGACCTGGAGAATGAACTTGGGGCAAACCCTGACCCCAGAATCGTTTTCTAAATGTTTGTGGACTGAACAAAGGTCTGCACAGAGGGGTGCAGTACACTCACTCACCACTCTCCTCTGCACAGAGGGGTACAGTACACTCACTCACCACCCTGACAGGGCCCCTGCCGTGTGCCAAGTATTGTGAGAGAGTCTAGGGACATGGTGGTCCTTGCTCTCGGGGGATTCCAGAGGACCTTTCTCATCTGTCTTGCCATCCAGGTACCCTTGGGATTTCAGGCACCTCTGTTTACTGATCTGCAAAATATTCCAGGCCTCTATGAGGTGAACTGGCGAGAGAGACAGGAACCACAAGCCCTTTGCAGGTCCACCCTGAGCACTCAGCACGCAGGCGGGAGAGCGAGAGAGCTGTGCTGGGCAGGCAGGTGGCGGGGCCAGGCTGTGGCCTCTCAGATCTTTGAGGCAATGCATGATCTCTTGTTCATCACCACTGCCTTGCAGAGGAGGTGAGGCTAGGCTGGTGAGGAAGCCGGAGTATAGGACTGGCCCTGGCTCACGGAGGGCCTCCAGCTAAGGAGACGTGTTGCAAACTGAGTTTGACTCAAAATGCATTTGATAACACATGTTTGTTTTCCCTCCCCACGTGGAAGACAGTCGAGGCCACCCTAGCTCTCCTCTGGTGCCTGGGAGTATGAAGTTTGAGAGGATCAGGAGGCAGCTCAGTGGCCAGTATCAGCTTTGCCACTTTCTAGCTTTGAGAAGACTTGAGCCTTGGGTTTTGGTCTATGTTAACAGCATCTGCTTCGTAGGATTCTAAGATGACAGGAGCTCATAGAAGTAGCCTTTGCTGTGGTTGGGCGATGGGAGGATGCAGCTTAGACCACTGGTAACTTGACCTTGTTAAGGATGAGAGGCCCTTCCTGCCTCGGTCAACCAGCTAGTGAGCAGTGAGAAGACAGCATGCCAGTGGATTCAAGAAGAACCACCAAGAGCCCTGGAAACATGAGGGCTGCATCGAGGTTCCCTAAAAGTTACTTACAGGCACCTCCTGCTGCCCCTTAGTATCCCCAGCCTGCCCGGTTCCAGCCAGTACTCCTGTTGCCCCCCGGCGGAGGACTGTTTGACCCAGTCGGTGCCTGGCTGTTCCCAGCTGCAGCCCCATCCCAGCTCCTGTGATTACACAACACACCATGGTCCCCCTCTGCTTTTATGACGGGAGGTTGACTGCTTCCAGCTTTAGGACACCATGTGAGTAACACGCAGTTCTTCACTCTGTTTCCATCAAATGCTTAATGGTTTTCCGTCTGCTTAATTTCTGGTGTTGTACGTTTAGAAGGGAGGTTCGACCTGCAAACGGGCAGCGTCTCAGCCACACTGTGAGTGACCTGGGCAATGGCGGGCTAGCCTGGAAACCTACTTGTATTATTACATTACTTTTTTTTTTTTTTTTTAAATGGGAGAAAAGCCTTTGAGTTGCAGATCATTGATTTATAAAATGTCGACTTTGAGAACACAGCTCATTTGTAAGAGGAACAAACTGTCTGCAGAATAAAATCGTGGATCTGATGTGTCCCAGGAACAGCACAAGATAAGCCAAGCCCCGTGCCAAACTGCGGTCCAGCCGGGAAGGCTCATGCTGGCAAGAGGCGGAGTCCAGGGGCCCAGGAGGGGCGTGGATGGCAGGCAGGGTGTGTGTCTTTGGGCTCATGGGGCCGCTGGAGAAGGAGACAGGTTTCCAAAGGTGGCAGTAGCTAGACTCGGACCTTTTTTAGGACTGGGCTTTGGGGGAGTCAGAGAGGGTTCTGGGTGGGGGAGGTCCTAGTGTGAGCCTGTAGGAGGAGGCTCTGGGGGGACAGAGAGCAGGGCAGAGCTGCTTCCAAGGAGGGACCGTGCCTTGGAGAAGAGCCTAAGGACTGGTGGGCTGTGGTCTTGTTGCTTGCCCGTAGCTGCTGTTCTCTGCAGTCCAGCTGCTGTCTTGCAGGAGTTTCCCAGGGCCAAAGCCAACCCGAGCTGATCTACTCACCAGCTTTGGGGCCTAGGAGTCCTGCTCTGTGCCCAGCCACGTGTGCCTGGGGGCCTGGCGGTGGGATTTGGAGGTGGGCTTCCTGGAGGCGGTGCCTACCCTCTTACTGAGGTGGGCCTTGGACACAGCATGGGCTTCTGCTCTCAGGAGGCACTTGGAAGTCATAGAAGGGAATTTCTTTAAACCCCAACCCCTATCCCCTAACTTGGCCGAAGACAGCCAGCTCAGAGTCAGCCTGTGTGCACCTGGGGTGCGCAAGGGGTCATGATTCTAGAATGTTCCAGAGTGTGACTGCAGTTCTCCTGGGAGCTCTGGAATGGCCAGGTGCCCTGAGGGCCAAGGAATCTCCGTGAGAGACTGTGCTGGTCGCCAGCTCCTGACTGCGTGCCCCACCTGCCCCCACTGTCATAGCTGCCCCCCCCAGGCAGGAAGGGCCCTCAGGAAAGGGCTCAGGCTGCATCCCCTGCCTGGTGCCCCTGGGGCCGAGGGAAACGTGGTTCACATTCCTTGTTTTCTTTCTGTGGCCTCTGCGGTGTCATCTGAGTCAGTACCACCCAAGAAGGGGATCTGCTTTTCAGTTTTGCTGACCCGGGAGCTTTGGGGATGAGTTTTTTTGGTGTGATAGATGGAAATGAACCCCTGACCCTGGGGTGCTGGCCTAGGGTCAGAGGCCTGGCCTGCCCTGGTCCCCTGCATGCAGCCCTGGCAGTGTGTGTGGTGTGACCTGGGCTCTGCTGTGCCCCAGGTGGGTTGGACCCCCCACTCTGGGCCTGGGGCCTCTCATCAAAGGTGAGATAGAGCTAGTGATCCCAACCTGCAGTGGGTATGGGCAGCACTGCCCAGGCACCGAGCCGGGGATGCACTTTGTGTTTACAGGGCAGACTCCTGGCTCCTTGCACCAAAGGATGCCCACAGTGCCCTGCCCTGGGGTAGCCCCACGGCCTGAGAATCCTTCCACACTCAAAAGACTAAAACTCCCTTAGTGACTTTCAGGCCAGTGACTGCTGTGTGTGAAGGGCCACCATGCTGGCCTGGGCTGCTTTTGAGGCTGAGGAGGGTCTCCACAGCCTCCCGCCTCCTGGGCAGGAAGTGTATCTTGTCTTACAAACCTCAGGGTGCATCCCTGAAGGAGTGCACAGGAGGACATCTGGGTGGGGCTGGGGTGTGTGGTCACGTGGGGTGGGGATATGGGGCTAGGGACCTCTAAGGAGAAGTGACAGGACCTGACTCTACACCACCTCCTGCAGGTCAGGGTCTTGCTTCCTTCCCTTCCTGTCCTGGGGTACATCTGAGCATCTTGTACTTACCTTAGATCCCATTCCTTAAGGATCCCGAGGCAAATAGTCATATTCTGGGTGGCTTGAGAAGGGGTGAAGATGACAGTGACATGGCCCCTGCATTGCATTCTGCATGTCCCCTCCCTTTAGCAGAAATACAGCTTTGCTCCACCTGGTCTGGCGGATGGGGGTCAGCCATAGCAGCTGAGAGGCTGTCTCCCTGTGTGTGTGTGTGTGTGTGTGTGTGTGTGTGTGTGTGTGTGTGTGACCTTGGAGAGGGTGAGGTTCCAGCCTTCCCTTTGATTGGTGCTCTTGGTCCCCAGAATCTTGCCATGTGCCCCCCTCCACAGCCTGAGAATCCTTCCACACTCAAAAGACTAAAAGGGCCACCGTGCTGACAGGCACTGCACACCCTGGCTCTGTGGCTCTGTGTCTGCCCACAGGGAGCCTTCTTAGGAAGGCAGGGACAATGGCCTGGGGCCCTTCGTGTCTCTTTGACAGCCTCGCTGAGCACCTTCAGCAACCCCCTGTCCCTTCCTGGACCTCAGTTGCCCCTTCTTACCTAGCTAGCCCCCTGGGTAAGAGGTCCCATCTAGGTCCCTCATTTAGTCTTGGGGTTGCAGAGTCAGGAGTTTGAGGCTCTATGGCCCCCAACCTCCAGAGTCCTGCCCTGGGATAGCCCCTGCGCCTGGAGGGCATGCGGTTGGCAGCTTCTTCATGCCAGAGGACCTCACGCATCCCAGCCTGGGTGAGGCACCACTGTGGAAAGCGGCTCCCCAGCACCCCGGGTTCCCCCAGGTCTAGCCGGCCTTTATGTCCTGGGACCAGGGAACCGCCCACCCCAAAGCTGGTCCTGAATGATTCATGTGCCCGCCTCCTGCGTGGCCCCTTGAAGTTGGCCGGGCTTCTGCCAGGCTGTGGTCCCTGTCCTAGGCTGTCGTCCCTGCCCGCCCGCCCGCCACTCCTCCTCTCTCTGGGCCCTGGGGAAGTTGAAGCAGAAAGGCAGTTGATCCTGCATCACTTCAAGTGGAAATGAGGAGGCAGCGGCTGTTGTTGACACACGCCTGCCCTGCAGATCTCTCCTCCCGCGCCCCTTCCCTTTGCCTGGTGCGCTGCAAGTTTGAAGCCAGCAAGAATAAGTAGGCACCCAGAGGCGGGGAGGGGGTGCTCTGCAGCCAGGGTGGGCTGGAGGGAGGGAAGCTGGGGGAGGGAAGGAAAGAACTGGGTGGACAGAGACCTGGAGGGAGAAGAGCTCAGGGCTGTGGGGGAGGAAAGCAGAAAAGTAACCCCCCCCCCAAAAAAAAAGCAACCTGTGCGCAAGAAAATAAAGTGCAGGGGTGGAGTGGTGGGGAGGGAAATCACAGTGTCAGTCACGGCGCTCTTGCCGGTCCCCGAGCCCCCAGAGGTGCACCGAGCCCCTTGAACTCTCCAGGTACCACTGACAACTGTGAGCCTGAGTTTCTTCTGAGATCCTGCAGAGCTGAGCTTCAGAGGGTTCAGACTTTGCCACTCCAATTCCCCGGTGGTCTGAGCAGCAAGGACTCCAGACAGGAATCTTTATTGTCTGCCGAGCCCCAGCTCCGAGTTACTTAGAAAAACATGTGTGTGTTAAAACTGAGCTTCCCCAGGGACCGTGCCGTTTCCACATGAGGAATGAATTTGGGGAAAGTGGAGTTTGGGAGGGAAGGAAAGAAACTCATATCACAAACGAATGTTCTAGAAGTTCAGCAATAAAGGAAAAAGTTCTGGAGACAACTTTTCCTGCATTGTCTCTTTTCTTTTTTAGCATCTTTTTGACTCTTCCTTCTTTGAGTTTTCTGAGAGCACCTTCCAGCCCTGCCTTCAGGGTCCTCTGGGTCCTGATGCTGAGGGGGGACTTGCCCACTGAAGGTTGATGCCACTAAGTATGGGCAGCTCCCAGGTATAGAGGGGACTTTATTTGCAACTGGGGGTAGGGGACAGCAGGGGCAGAAGACCCCCCACCCTCCTTTATCCTGCTGACCTCGGGGACATTCAGAAACAAAGTTAGGCAAGGAGGTGAGGTCTTCCTGAGGACTGCGCCTGACCACATGGTGACCCATGGGCTGAACGGGGTGAGGAGAGTGGCTGGAAGCCCACAGGTAGTGGATAAGGGGGAGATGGCGGTTGCCAGCCAGAAAGACTTTTCCAGGCATCATGGAGGCAAAACCATTCCAGGCAAAGGAAGCAACATGTGGACATAGCAGGAGGTCATCCTCGGAGAGGGAAGGCGGGTGCATGCTCCAGGAAGAGACAGAATCATTGTCCCTGGGCTGTGGCAGGAGGCAGGAGGTGGGGTGGGGGAAGATGGGTGCTGGAGGCCGGGAGAGCTGGGATTCCCATCCTCAGGGCAGTGGGAAAGACATGACCAGGTGGTGTGTGGAGACAGGGACAAGCTTGGAAATAGGGATGCCACAGAGGATATCATTTCTAGGCCTGGAATTGACAGGAGTGGTCAGAACACAGCGGGGCAGGGAGAGGGGTTCGACTGGGGAAGGCTGTGGCCTGGGCCCTTGGCCCTGGGAAGGCAGTGCCCATGCATTTGAGTACTGAGTGCCACTTGATAGAATGGACACAGCTCAGTTCAGGCCGCTTGTGGTTTTTAAACAAATCATGATCCCACACCTTCCAAACAATTTAGTTTCTTTTTTTCCTTTCCCCTTAGCCAGTCCCATCGCAAACTTTTGAAGCATGAAATGAATTTTGCTGGCCCCCGCCAATAGGATCCTTTTCCTAGATAATGGGTTTTATGAAATGGCTATAATCCTCCCAGGTAATGAGTGCAGGCTACACCCTCCAGTTGGGCCCGGCATTCCTCTTCCTGATTTATGATATATTGGTTAAAATGGTAAACTGATAGCAGCTGCAGAAATCCTCATCCATCACCAAGCTGTGTTGCTTAAACTATAGAAAGGTTTCCAGAAGTGAGGCGCTAGAGGCCAGCGGAGGAACAATTGGGCAATCCCAAAGGCATAAAGCAACAGCGAAATCAAACCTTCCTATTTGTATTCTGCACACAGAGGCATGGGCTGGTGCAGGGTACCAAGGAAGGAAAGAAATGCAGGTAAACCCCGTCTCCAAGGTCCAAGGACATCCTCTCCTGGACTCCAGACTGCAGGGGTCTCTTGCTAGTTGGTATAGTGTTCTGTTTCTCATTCTAGACAATTTTGGAAAGGTTCCCAGTCTCTAATAGGCATAAGCATGTTGGGCTGACATGTAGTTACAAAGTTAAAGCAGAGTCTATCAAAAATGGGCAGAGGTTAGAGCACAAAGCCACATGTGGACACAGCAGGTGGTCATCCTCAGAGAGGGATGCATGCTCCAGGAAGAGACAGAATCATTGTCCCTGGGCTGTGGCAGGCGGCAGCGGGTGGGGTGGGGGGAGATGGGTGCTGGAGGCCGGGAAATCTGGGATTCCCAGCCATTGAGTGTTCCTCGGTGTTGGGGAGACTGACCGGCAAGTTCTTGGGGGAAAACAGGCAAGGACTGGAGCATCGTTTTCATGGGATTGTTCTGGTGTGGAGGAGTTCTTTCATAGTGTAGATTACTTGTGTCGTCAGCTTAAGAGGGAACATTTTTCTTCATTGAATGAATGAACGAATGAATGAATGAGTGTGAAAAGCTGTAAAAGATCTGGAATTTTATCTGATTGACAATCTCATTTTTTAAAAAAAATATTTTTGACCACTTTATTATTTATTGATTTATGTGGTGCTGAGGATCGATCTCCTTTTATGGGTGGGAAAGCCATGTCAGGGGAAGGCAGCAGCCTGGCTCAGAGCTCCTCTCCTAAGGAGCTAGTGAAGAGAACGGTGTCCTTGGTGCCACTTCAGTACATCTGCCACACTTTAGCTCCACAGTTAGCATTGGTCACACCTGTGTCAGCTGACTCCTGGCTCATCATTGGAGGGCAGCATGTCACAGAGCAGTCCTGACGCCCATGCAAGATAGGGTGGGTCCAGGGGCCCCTCCC